TCTGTGGTACAGGATCGGAACATTTTTCAATGACGGAACGTGGCAGTTTCAGTGGTGGCAGGGTTGGGTGACTGTAAACGCAGTCCGGTATCATCCGGGTTGCTTCATCAGCAGGCGTGTTTGTGAACAGACTCTACGTCTAATGGAGCAAGTACGCCGGTCGAATTGTGAGAAGAATAAACACATTGTGTATTTTTAAGTTGGCACCACAACATAGGCCGCTGAATTGTCTAAAGCTTTGCTAAGTTCGACATAGTTATGCTGCATTATATTTAGTTCGGTAAAAAACGCTAGAGGTTAAGCCGACTCGGCTCACGCGTGTGCTAACATAGACCACCGTCCGTGTTGACCTGGAGAGTGTCGTGTATATGGTTCACTCCAGGAAACTAGCTCATTTTGACTGTGTCGTGGTGTCCGTCGAGACAAAATATCTCGCTTGTCGGTGACGTACCATATTTTCTGGATGGTTGGCAATAAACGGAACCATTCAGCCTGCACTTAACATAGGCGAAAAATTGTGTTTGAGCGCTTGCAATACGCGTCTTTTTCTCATCTTCTCATCCCTACGGAATTCTGCCATCACTTTTTGACTCTATTGCCCAGCTCAAAGCACATTTAGAAACACAGTTTACACCGAGATCCGCGCAAATTCACACGAAATCCGTATAAAATACCGCAAACCTCTGTCAAACATGTGCATTCCTGGCTCCGTACGTTTCAGCAGGTCAGGCTGACTTACATAACCGCAGGGCATGCCGATATATTCAAAAGCCTATGAACTACTCGCTCTCACATCGGTCTCAGGACCAAGCTCCGAATTTCCATTTTGGATCTTACGCTCATCAACGTCAGGTCCTGATGTCGATGACCATAAGATCCAAAACTGAGAATGGGAATAATAAAACGTCCGACGAGGTGTGGCAAAAGAATGGTATGGGTAAGCAATACAGGATTTGCCTCTCTCAGCCGCCACATTTAAGCGTCTGCCATCGATTTGTGCCGCTGGGCTTTAAGGTCACGTTCACTGCTGCTCTCAAAACACAGGCCCCTTACAGAGCTTATAACGTTCCTCGCTAGCTAGCCGCTTCGACTGCGGCTTCGGCATCGGCATCGCCTTCGGCTTCGACTTCGACTTCGACTTCGACTTCGACTTCAGCATAGGCATCGGCATCGGCTTCGGCTTTGGCTTCGGCCTTGGCCTTCGCTTTGGCTTCGACTTCTTCTTTTGATTTGGCTCCGAAGCCAAAAGCCGGGCTTCGTCTCTAGGTCTGCGCCATGATTGATCTAATAATCAATTACCGAAGTGTATGAATTGCATAACAGGCTGATCCATCCATGTGCCTCGGACCTGTCACCTTAACCATGTAACAAAGTGTCCATTCCAGAACTGTCTTTCATAACATGTGGCAAATATTGACCATATAAGCCCCATTTGGTTCCTTTGTGTCACATGGGGTGCAAAGACAGAGTATGAAAGGGTATGAAACAGAGAACAAAATGGATTGGGTCACTCAGGCAGACCTGACATTCCAATCCAAACCAACCAACTGGATGTGGACAGGAATCATCACCATATTAAATATATTGATTTTGATCAGATTTATGGTTCAGTTTTCATCAAAATACATCCTTACATTAACCAACTGGCAACAGATGTCTGCACCCTGTTAAAACTAGCAAATGCCAAATCTGAAATGATGTTCGGTTTGAAAGCAAACATTTAATGTCAAAGCATTGTGCTAACTAACATCAACAACAACCATGTGAAGAAGAACCCCTGTGTTTGAACAAGTGATTGCTTTGAAATGTACAGGCAAATGGAATCAGTCGGGGACCAGAAACAGATGAGGAGACTCCAGTGAAAGTACATCAGGCAATGACTCTCTCCCAAGTTGCCACAAAAGTCCCTGTGCCTTTGGGACTGGTAGCCATGACATTCACAGATCACCTACAACAGCAAACAGAAGTGGCTCAAAGTAGCCAAATTTAAGGTAAGATAATATTGAGGTAATCTTTATTCATACCTGTGACTTGTAACATTCTTGCCCATTCCTTAAAATGGACAGCAGACAAAATGGACAAATAGACAGAGAAAAATAACAATGATGAGTTGATTATGTTCCAAACCTGTGAGTCAGTATGGGCTGAGTGACCCATATTGCCTGGAGCTATCCATGAATTGGCTCTGAAATCTAAATAATGAACTTAATGTTTTCTGACAGTGATCATATCTGCCAGCAGTGGTGCCCTGGATGTAGCAATGTTGTCATCTCACCAGGCATATCTTAGAGAGATATTGAAGCCTACAACATAGCTGCATCCTAGAGGAATGACAAGATAGTATTCAGCCATGGTCAGAACCAAACTAATGAAGTGGAACTCCATCCTGGAATTTATTCTATCAGAACAGACCGAAAAACATGTGTGCCTGACACTGCAAAATGTGCATTGTACATCAGCAAAACTAAAGTAAGCTGATGGATCTTGAGACAATCCCTGCTCTTATCTCTGAATGGCTGATAGAGGCAGACACAGGACTGTTGGATAAGAAATTCAACACCATTCAGGCAGAACAGCTCAATATGCAGACCCATAAAAAGGCTGTGTCAGCAAGCAGTATGCTTGCAGTAAATTGTGAACCTTTTTGTTTGTGTTCTTTCATCTAATGTAATCCTAGCAAATACAGATGAAGTCAGCAAAAATTGGTATGTAGGTAGGAGCTGGTTACTAAGATCAGTTAATATAGTAACAGTGGTTGTCAGTAAACACCATTTTTGGGCTCTATCTGCATTTTTACAGCTTTCAGCATTTGTGCATCAAGATTCTTCCCTATTTTTATCTGCTTTCTGGGCTGTGCTAAGCTCATGGAATTCTTAAACTTAAGTGTGACCTGCCAAAGTTTTTGTAATGTTTGTGCAGGCTTCTCTTAAAATTTGTGACACACTTTTCCCCCAATGCCATGGGACTTTTCCTGTTTTTGAGGTAACCAATACATTTCATCATCAAGCATGGAAATGCTTTATTCAGCATTAAGTCAAGCTATTTTGACAGCTACAAAGCTCTTGAGTTTGAAGAACTTTGATGCTATTGATTTGAGGTACTTTACCTGATGGTACAAAAATGACCTGAAGGTTTAACATAGCTATCAGTTCTATAATACTTATAGAACTGATGGATAATGCCCAAACTTGTAGAGCTGGCTTGTTAACCATCAAGGAATTGCACACTGGAATATGGATAAATGGATAAAATAAAGAAAACAATTGGGGAGCAACGATTGGGGCATTCAGCACATATTTTAGTCTGCCTTCAATCTACTAGCATGTAGTCCTCCACATGGTTTAAACCAATTTCTGAACTATGTTGCATACCTGGATGTACACCTGATACTTTAAGTCAATGTCGACCGGTGCGTTGTTAACCAGCCAAGAAGTAAACAAACCCAACAGGAGGTTGGGACTAATTGGAATTGCGGGACACGTATAAAGTCTCGTCATACAGCCGTCAATGACCTCCTGCGTTTCGGTATGCAGAAACACAGATGCTTCAGATAAACTGACAATAAGCCACAACACGCCTGTGGCACTAACCTGAGAAAGACACTTTTCGGATCCCTGAACTTCGACGCCTCCTCAACTCAACAAGTGGTGGTGGGTGGCTGGGTTTGGCCGTACGCGTACGACGAGCCTGAGCACGGCTGTTTACTCGCGCCATTATTGCATCGCTAACACCAAATTTCCTTACGCATAGGTCCACTGCACTAGAGATTTTTCACCACGAGATTTCTCAAGCCGGGCACACCTGTTACATTCTCACCAGATTCGGATTCACAGTGAGCCGCATAAATGCAGCTGTGTCTAAGATTGGAGGACAGATTAGGGTTGGATGGGTCTAAATGAGATCTCAGGAGGGACAGCCTGACCGTACAATGCAAGCAGTGATGCAAATAAATGAAATTCGTACATTTTGCGGGACAAAATTGAAGAGTGCAGAATGTTTTGTGAGAATTAGGGGGCCACATCCCTGACACACCCTGTGGTTATACCCAAGTTTTTTCGTGCATATTTTTGGGGTCTGACAGACCTTGCGAAACAAACACAAAAATGGGTGAGCTTCCCTACGAAATAACATGAACATGCAGTTTTGAGCCAGCACACCATAAGTCTATGACTTTAATTTGTAACGTCGTCGCGAAATTCGGTGCAGATACGAACACTTCCCAACCGCACTCTACCATGTTTTGCGGGGACCTCACTTGATGCTAGTGCGCGAGTTTTATCAGACATTCGCTGTCAGTCGGTCAGCAAATAGCCGGTTATATGGTCGGTTATATGGTCGTCGCAATCACAAGCGCCCATTACGTTCATTTATACTGACATCATTCATACCAGAAGAGATGTTACCTTTGAGCCCGCAGGCCCGCAATATGTGGGTTGAAACAACCAGCTCAAAAGTGGTACCTCTAGTCCGTAAGAGCTGCGGACAGCCTTTGACAAATTTTGCCTTTGTCGGCTGTCGCAAAGTAGGGCTGACATCTGGGGCTGCAAAGAAAAAATAGGCATAGCACTGTGGTATTAACAAGTGTTGACATAAACAGCATCATTTAGACTCGATGATAATTATAATGAACCTGCTTCTGGTGTTTTGTCGGTACTGTAGTGGCGCTACCCAGTGCTAGTATTAGACGCAGCTGCTTCTGAAGTTTCACCAAAGCATGTTTTTCAAATACACAACAAAGGTAAAACATTCCCTACCTTGCACACGGATTTTGAAGAGGAAATAACCGTGCGTAGCTTGTGAAGGAGATCGGAAAACCGCTTATTTTAAGTCTAAAGAATGCAGACAGGTATGAATTCAGGTAGGCAATATTTCATATTTGCAAAATTCTGAGTTTTGATCATTTCAGAGTACCGACACCTCATTGGTGGCAGAGCTCTAGATTGTGGGGGTTCCGCTCCACACTGGACCGAGCCTTGCTCCGAATTGGGGGTGGAGATGGATGGGCATGACCCTCGCAAAGATGCCAGTTTCACACCTGCGGGACAAGCGCGGATAAGTGTGGGACAGGCGTTGAGCGACCAAAGTGTCAAACACGCTTTCCATGATCTACGCAGCTCTAGCGCCCTTCGGCTTTGAGGCGCGCCGGCCACCTCGGGAGGCGTTCATATTGTCCAAGGTACAGAATGCCGCGTGACGCACGTCACCAGCCTACCAATCAGCGCGGCAGACGCGAATGACGTCACCTGGGTAATCTTGGCTTAAAATCATGTGAACTTACACTCATTTCAAATTGTGTCAGATGAGCCTAATAGCCGCAAACAAGTAACTGCGATATAATCTTTCTTAGTTTAAAGTCGTTTATAACTATGATATGTTCGTTGCCCTAAGTTCCTATCGTTCCATACTATGGGCATAGGAACGGGGGGGGGGGGGGAGGGCGGCGAGAAGGTCAAGCCCTCCTCCCTTTTTAAAGGTGGGAAGGCCGGCAGTAGTAATTGCTCCCCTCCTCGCCATTTTGGTCATATTTAATTTGCGTTGAGCTTGCCGCTGCGCTGTCTAAAACGTTCATGGACATATACCCAGTTGTCCTGCAGCATTTCTCGAACAGCATTGGACAGCTTTGTCTCATATTGTAATTGATAGCATGTTGTGTTATCACGTGCAGTGTACGAATGGGGATGTTTTTCGGCAAAGTCCAGGCTACCGTCGGAATAGGTTAGTTAAGTTCAAGATGGGCATGCCATGGGCGTTTAGCGTAGTCCGGCATGCAAGGAAAAAAACTAGACCTCTCACATCATCTCGGTGTTTAAAACCTTCGTAAAATTACCGCTATGACGCTGCCATACCGATAATTGTCATGCCATGTCATACGGGTAATGAAATGACGCTGACGCTGTCAAGTTAGACATTAGGCACTTGAATTATCCGAGTTCGAGAGCGATCTCCGTAAGCTCCACTATGCCATATTTTTGAACGGTGATGGGAGATGGCTATCAGTCGAAACGTTACAGTTCGTCGTTAAAATGAGTGCTAAGTAGTGGAACTTGTGGAAAAGATCCACCCAAAGGGAGTGCTTCATCTTTGAGCCACATTAAAAAAGCATACTCTAGTGAAACCTCAGGATTATCTGCGTCTTATGAAAGTACTAAGTGGTGTCACATACACTGTCGTAACAACACATTTTTTCGTTTTTGGTAGTTTCGAGAATAACCCCAGTGCACGACAACTGCAGTTGTTGCGACTGCCGTCGGTATAACGACGGCAGAATCCGCTGGGAGGTTTTTTACGTTCGTGTGCCCGCTTATTGTCTTTCTTTGCCCACAGGTCAAAATACGACAATTATATTTTGTTTTTTGATCTATCTCCGAATGTTTTTTTCTCTTTTGGTTATTTTCTTCCTTAAATCAATTTGTTGTGCTCTTCAATCCCTGTGCAGAGCTAAGTCTCGTTACATTTCAATCCCATGCTTGGCATGATGTTTTGCCGGTGACCACCGGGCACTCATTTAGGAAAATCGTGGCGCTGTGGATGGAATATACTTCCGTCCTTTAACATTATGCGCTGTAAGGGTGTCATCAGCGACCGTCCATTGACACCTCAGGGCGCCAATGCTTGGGTATTGTGTGAGAGTCGTCATGTGCGCAAGTAGGATTTCACAATGGGTGATGGCACGACTAAAAAATCGCCGTAAACTGAGGTTAGTACGCCACGATCGCGAGCAATTTGTTGTGTGTGGTAAAGCAACGGCGCGTAGCCTCAATCTAATAATCTTTTTGTGTTCACCTGGAGAAATAACAGTCAATATCTATCACCTACATGTTCATACATGCCATAAATTTGGTAAAGAGGCGACACGTGCGCCCGGGGGCTGCCATGGGCATACTCTGCTGACAACCCCGCAGCAGGGCTATATAATGCGCGCAGATTCCCGTCTCTTTGCCCGAATGGAAGTTATTTGAAAACTGTGCCGCATTTCCGCTGGGCGTGTTGTCGATTGCGTTGCGACGTCACCGGTGGCCTTTGCTTATTTTCTAAAAGCATGTCCTTGACTCGGCAGGTAACTTCGTCGGCGCCGATTTTTTCTGAAGGCAGCGATACGTACGTCGTTAAGCCCTTTTTAGTGAGCTTTAACGACTGCATTGGCCATATTAGCGTTTAGCGGCCATGGCGCAACCGGGATTGGTACCCGGTCTCCCTACGTGGGAGCGCAAGGCGCTGAGCACTCGGCCATGGCAACCCAGCACCGAGTGCAGATGCAAAACGTCGTCAAGATACTATCATCAGTGTTGAAAATAGAAGGGTACACTCCCGACTTTCTGTAAAAGGTTTTGTGGAGTCATACCAAATATAAATATAATCGATCAAATATAATGTAATGATGATAAGTATAAGAAGACTAATAGCAATGATAATAGATATCAACAAAATAAGACGAAAGTACATATAACAAAAATGATAATAGATATGCTGTAATAATTACTCTAATCGATCAAACACACTATACGGGGATTGGCCGGATGGTTGGGCGTCGTTCAATGCTGAAAGCCTTCCATCAGTGTTATCCAACGCGAAGGCATTTGACTCCCCTCGCTTGAATTTAACTATTTTTAAAACGATGCTGTTCTTGACAGGCCGATATCTGCCTGACTCGAAGCGTCACTAATCCATCCGCGGATTTTCTTACGATGCCTCCAGTTAACCGCAGGTGCCTGGCAGATCCAATGTTAGGTGTGCGTGCAGAGTGTGGACAGCTTAACAGCTCTGTTTTGTTAGACTAGACCACCCAACTGTTTTTTTGATGATGTGTCCCCGGGGGTCATATCCAATAACCGTGCCAAGCCACCGCAAGCGCGCCCGATGTTTGTGCATCAATGCAAAAGCCCTGCAGTAGTGGTCTCAAACACGCATGATTTACGTTTGCTCGCTTGGTTGTAAATGGTATAAAACGGCGCCTTGTCTTGCACAAACTGCACTTAAACTTAACTCCTGGTGTCAGTGGCCGATTCTGCAATTTCCCAAAACTCGTCCCTATCGCCGCGGGACCCCTTGCAGGTGACGAACGCGCGTGCGAAGTACAGCTATGCAGCTAGCATAGCTTTTTTCCTCACGGCTTCCAATATGATACCCTGCGAGTGTCATATCATATCACCATCCAGAATACGACCGGAGAACGGGTCCAGTGTGTCGATGTCGCTTGATAATTCTACACTGGGGCTATGAGACCAGCAAGGTTTTGCTCTCCTCACGCGATTAAACCGAACGGAGTACCCCTGCCCGCTCCATCCAGGGGCTTGATAAGTAAAATTAGGTTATCTGTGTCATTTGTTGGACCCTCTGCGCCGGCATGAGATTATTTCACGCCAATGACGGGCTCCTGCGCCGATCCAGGACCAACTGCCCCGGTCAGAGGGCCTCCTGCGTCAGAGAGTTGACCGATTCATGATGCATCTCTGTGAGGACCGCTGGGTCGCCCGTGAGCCCCGGCCCCCTGTCGCCAGAATGACAGTCGGCAGGTGCCCTGGGGTGTGACGGAAAAGGCTCTTCAGTCCGTCACCGGGGAAGGAATGCCCAAGTGTTCTACTTGCTAGGCCCCCTGTCCGGGAGAGGTAAGGGATCTCCATAGTGTGGATCGAGCCGGGGTAAAGCGTTTCCATTGACTGTCAACATAT